TACCTTTCTGCTCAATTAGGCCCGATTTCATTTATTTATTTATTTATTTATTTATTATTTTTTGAGATAGAGTTTTGTTCTGTCACCCAGGCTGGAGTGCAGTGGGATAGTCTCGGCTCACAGTAGCCCCCGCTTCCCGGGTTCAAGTGATTCTCCTGCCTCAGCCTTCTGAGTAGCTGGGATCACAGGTGTGCGCCACCATGCCTGGCTAATTTTTGTATTTTTAGTATAGATGGGTTTCACCATGTTGGCTAGGCTGGTCTTGAACTCTTGACCTCAAGTGGTTTGCCAGCCTCACCTCTCAAAGGGTTGGTTTTATAGGCATGAGCCACCACGCCCGGCCTAGGTCCTATTTTTAAACTAAAAGAAAAACCTTTTAGGCTTCTTTTTCAATATAGTTATTCATAAATATTGGGAAAAGTTACCACTGTGAATGAAATTTCTTTCCCATTGTTTTGGTAGGTGTTTCCTGCTCAACTAAAGAAACTTAAATGTATTGTATCATACTTCATTTTAATAAGTTCTTTTATTTCAGGGTTTTTTTGTTTGTTTGTTTTTTTTTGTATTTTTTTTAGAGAGACTGAGGTTTTGCTATATTGCCCAGGATAGTCTTGAACTCCTGGCCTCAAGCAATCCTTTTGCCGCAGTGTCCTGAGTCACTGGGATTACCAACATGAGCCACTGGACACAGCTAATTTCAGTTTTTAAAAAATATAATTACTTGAGTTTTTCTAGACATTTGGGTTCCCCCCCCAACCCCCCAGATGGAATCTTGCTTTGTCACCCAAACTGGAGTGCAGTAGCGCTCACTGCAGCCTCCACCTCCCTAGTTCAAGCAGTTCTCTTGCTCAACCTCCTGAATAGCGGTGATTATAGGTCCATGCCACCATGCCCAGCTAAGTTTTGTATTTTTAGTAGAGATGGGGTTTCATCATGTTGGCCAGGCTGGTCTCAAACTCCTGACCTCATGATCCACCTGCCTAAGCTTCCCAGAGTACTATTACAGGCATAAGCCACTGCGTCTGGCCTGGGATTTTGTTATGAAGAATGACCCTTTTTTTTTTGTCACAGGGTATTGCTATGTAGATTATAATTTTCTTTGTGAGTTCTTTGATCCAAGGGTTGTTTATGATTATCTTATAGTTTATAAGTACTTATTTTTGTACATTTTTCCCTAAATTTTTTGGATTATATATCTGTGTAAATGTTTTATTTTACCCAGTTTGTGATCAGTTATGGTGATGGACATAGGAAAAAAAACTTCTTTGTTAGAAGGTTTACTTCTTCGTTGGAGTATCTTTTTATCTTTAAAATTATGTTGTTGATAATATATCAAATTTCTGTTTTTTAAATTTTCTCCAACTGTATTTGTTCATTCTAAAAGGTATACTAAAATAAATCATGTTAATATTTTTAAAAACAATTATTAAAGTTATGATTTTTGCTTTATTACCCCCAACGTTATTTGGTCTTTGTGTTTGTAACTCTTATATCTTGGTCATAAACTATATATTTTATAATGGTATAATTATTCTCTTTCTCTTTCTCCTTTCTTTCTTTCTTTTTTTTTTTTTTTTTTTTTGACATGGAGCCTCACTCTGTCGCCAGGCCGGAGTGCAGTGACACGATCTCAGCTCACTGTAACCTCCGCCTCCCAGGTTCAAATGATTCTCCTTCCTGAGCCTCCCAAGTAGCTGGGACTACAGGTGCATGCCACCATGCCCAACTAAGTTTTGTATTTTTTGTAGAGACAGAGTTTCACCATGTTGGCCAGAATGGTCTCGATCTCTTGACCTTGTCATCTGCCTGCCTCTTCTTCCCAAAGTGCTGGGATTACAGGTGTGAGCCACCGAGCCCGGCTTCTCTCTCTCTCTCTCTCTCTCTCTCTCTCTTTTTTTTTTTTAATAGGTTACTTGTTTTCTATGGCCAGGTGTTTGAATGTGATCCAGCATCCATAAATTTGTATCCCTAATGCCTTTTAATATAAACTTTTTGTCATAATGTTCTACTTTTTTTATTGTGTTGAAATATATATAACAGGCCAGGCATAGTGGCTCACGCCTGTCATTCCAGCACTTTGGGATGCCGAGGTGGGGAGATCACGAGGTCAAGAGCTCGAGACCAACATGGTGAAACCCTGTCTCTACTAAAAATAGAAAAATTAGCTGGGCATGGTAGTGCATGCCTGTAGTCCCAGCTACTCAGGAGGCTGATGCAGGAGAATGTCTTGAACCCCGGAGGCACAGGTTGCAATGAGCCGATATCTCACCACTGCACTCTGGCCTGGCGACAAAGACTCCGTAACATCAGCAACAACAACAAAATACAGACACACACACACACAAAACCATAAAATCTCTATTTTAATGTGTGTAGTTCACTGGCATTAAATACGTACACACAGTATATAGCAGTCACCACTGATTTCCAGAATATTTTCATCCTCCCAAATTGAAACTCTGTACCCTTAAATGATAACTTCTCATTATTCCTTACCCCTTTTACCCACCATTCTACTCTCTGTCTCTATGATTTTGACTACTGTAGTTACCTCATGTAATTGGAATCATAATATTTGGCCTTTTGTGATTGGGTTGTTTCACTGAGCCTAATGTTTTCAAGGTTCATTCATGTTTTTGTGTCAGAATTTCCTTCCTTTTTAAGGCTAAGACAATGTTCTGTTGTTTGTGTATAGATCACATTTTGTTTATTCATCTATTTGCCAGTGGGCACTGGGGTTATTCCCACCATTGGCATTTGTGGATAATGCTGCTTTGAACACAGCCTGATTCCACTCCTTTTGGATAGATATCCAAGAGTGGGATTGCTGGATCATATGCTAATTCTGTATTTAGTTTTTTGAGGAACTGCCATACTGTTTTCCATAATGGCTTCAGCGTTTTGCATTTTAGCCAGCATTTAATCCAGCAAGGATTCTGTTTTCTCCACATCATTGCCACACTTATTGTTTTATGCTTCTTTTTAAATAATAGGTATTCTAATGGTGTGATTTTATTTGTTTTTCTTGTTGTTGTTTGTTTGTTTTTGGAGACAGGGCCTTGCTGTGTTGCCAAGACTGGTCTTGAACTCCTGGCCTCAAGTGATCCTCCTGCCTCAACCTCCTGAGTAGCTGGGATCACAGGTGTGAGCTGTTGCACTCAGTGTGGTGTGATCTTAAACCCCTTTTGATTTAGTTCTTAATCTATTTTTAAAACATCTGTCAATTAGAATAATCTGTCTCCTCTGCCAGAAGAGTTCTGTGAAATTGAGAGAATTCATAACATCTTGTTGTGCTGGGATTACAGGCATGAGCCACCACACCTGGCCTGTTTTTTAAGTCAGCAAGACAATTATTTACAATAGGAACTTCATTAATGCTACAATTTAGGATATACAAATGTGAAATATTTCTAACTTTACCTTGTACATTTTGCATATATCATTAGTCATTGTTAGACACTTTTGCCATAATTCAATACTGAATGTGTATTTTAATGTGAGTTTTTGACATCCACATTTTTAACTTTTGTCTAATTTATAATCTTAGTTTAGAGTTACTGGAAATTGTCTCTATAACTATGGTTTTAAACGGCTAATAAGTTGTCTTTATGATCTTTAGCTTCTAAACAATGAATAGTAGATATTATTTTTTGTGAAGATCTATGTCTGAATTGAAAAGGGTCAAAGTGTCTAGTGAATGAAGTAGAACGCAAATCAGAAGACGTAGTATTTAACATGATTAGCTAGTGTTAACTCTTAATATCTGTAAGTTATATAATTAAAATTTTTATTCAACACTTGATTAACAAATATTTCTCATTTTCTATCTTTGTTCTACAGAATGGTAGATAACGCAGATCATCTCTGGAAAGGATATTGATCCGCCTCATGTAAAGTATGCTCAGTTCCTTTCCAGTGGTGTAAGTATCTAGTTCTTCTTGATTTTTATCTTCACAATTATTTTTATAAAGTTATTATGATTATGATTATGATCCAGATTTGACAACAGATGTTTGTAGAGTTGAAATTTTTTTTTAGAAAATGAATCAAATGGAATACCTGTTTGACATTAAGGTGAATAAGTGTCATGATCATGTGGTGAGAAATGAATTTTTAAATCTATTAGCCTTCTCTTACCATTTCTGTTTTCAACTTTGAATTTTAAAATTAATTTTAAATTGAAAATAAAATTACTGATTTTTAACTGCTTAAAGCTTAGAAGCATGCAAGATAGATGGCTGTTTAAGAGGACTAATTAGATTTCTTGTGACAAGCAGACTACCGGAAGTATACACCTTCCTGTTGCCTTTTTTGTGCAGACTTAGAGCACCTTAACCATTTTCCTTTACCTGGTGAGGGGATGATAATGTAGTTAAGCCTATTAGCTAATATGCTAGCCTTTCTTTGGAGTCAGGCGGAAAATACAAATTGAGATAGTGGTATTGTGTTGAGAGTGTTTTTGTGCTAGAATATGAACTATAACCACCAGTTCGTATTAAATAGGCCTTTGAATAAAAGTATTCCGGGAATTTCAGATATTAGAGAAGACAAAGTATCTATTAGCTCATTAAGTGCATCTTCAGAGTCTAAGGCAGAGTGCCTTTAGCATAAGTATTTTCTAAAATTTGATGGAGTCTCCACTTTGCTTAAATTCCTTCCGTTTTGGTTGACAGTTCTATAATACAATAAGTAGACATTAAGAGAGATTTTCCTTATTGTTTAGGCTTTTCATTACAGTTCCTCCTCCCACCCCCGAATAGATTCTGTGATATAGTGAAAAGTTTCTGGAATAGATCTTGAAGATGTAAAGTGTAGCCTGACTTTCTGCTAAGTAGCTATATACTAGAGAAGGCATTTATCTCTTTGTGCCTTAGTTTCCCTCCCCAAATAAATTGTTTTTAATCAATTTATTTGCTAATGGCTATTTTTAATGTATCAACCTTCTCTTGTACCATTTCTGTTTTCAACTTTGAATCTTCACATTAATTTTAAATTGAATATAAAAGTACTTATTTTTTAACTGCTAAAAGCCTAGAAGCTTCTGAGATAGATGGCTAAACATTCAAGAGAGTTAAGATGTGTAATGGCTACTATTGAAAATAGTTAAGTGTCTAATGGCTATTGAAATGAATGTAAGCATCATGAAGCCATGAGTTGTTGCCTGATTTGTTCCTTGTTGTGTTCTCTGTGCCTGGCGCAGGATCTGTTACATAGTAGGCACTCAATAAATGTTACTTAAGTGAATGTTTTTGTCTAAATGGTCTCCAGTTCTCTCATTCCACACTAATTTATATCTCTGTCTATAAACCTACGTGTTTGTACTTGGATTTTTGTTGCATATGGTAGAAATAAGAGGATCAAAGTATCATTTCATGAATCACTGTGTTTATTGCCATACAAAGAAAATGTTTTCTTGGGTTCACAGTACTTAATGATGGGGAGAGTAACATGGACGCACTTCACAGGGAATACACTCAATAGATGAGGTACATTAACCACATTGTGAATGTGCTCCAAAGCTATTAAAGTCTCTTTGTTCAATTATGATGAAAGGAGGCCTCTGTGTTCAAGTGAAGGCTAAAGGTGGAAGTGTACCTTTATATGAGCAGTTCTTGGGAGAAGCTGGCTTGACCACCATAGCTGAGATCCTGAACCACATGTTAGGCTACTCAGTGCTAGAAGGTGCTGGCTTGTGGAGTGTAAAAACTCTGAGGCGTGTTGCAGCCTGAGCTCTCTGGTTTTGGAGAAGCAGCTGACAGAGAGTAGCCCTGCCTCAGTCTAAGCTCCCAAACTGTCTGTTAAGCTCTTGAGTGTATATGTAGAAGTCCAGTATTCGTGACAGTAACTCACATATGGATTTTGATAAGAGATGAGGTAACATTCCTGAGAGGATGGAGAGTTCACTCGTGGATAAAAATACTGTGATTGATACTAGAGTGTGTTAAATTATCATGCAGTAAATATCATGTATGCAAAACAAAACTAACCTATTTTGCCTAGTCATTCTAGATAATAAAAATAAAGACAGCAGAATTGAGCTAAAGAAAAAGCCGTTATCCAATAAAATTTTACCAACTGTTGGTGCTTTACAAGTAAGGTAATAATGTCCTTTTGACCCATGTGATTTCAAGGTTAATCATTTGTGAATGCTTTAACTGTCTTTGTTCTACATGGTTGTAGAATTTAGCTTGTGAAAGTATATTCTGGATCATGCCTTATCCAAGAAGGGTTTAGGTAAATATTCAAATCAGGATAAAATATATTGTGTAAAGTATTATTATGGTCTTATGGTATGATATTTTCTTAGAATATCAGTTTATGAACTGAGCCGTAATTCCTGAATTTAATTGTTCTTTTATGCCTTAAAATTGTCTGTTATTACAGTGTTGAAATTCTTCTCACATCATTTTCAATTATTGTTGGCCTGAGTCTGCATTCACATTAGTAATTTAAAGTGAAAGATGTTCCTTATCCTGTGAACAATCCTTGTGCATAAGAAAATTAATTCAATTCTTACATGTTATCTTCTTCTGTTATAAAAGAATTGCTGATATCATGGACTTAGATGACCTTTACAGGTCATTTACTGCCATAAATTCATGATTATGTGCTTAAACTAGGTAAATTATGAGAAATAAAATTTTGAAATGCCAGCTGCTTTTGTTTATATTAATACACATTGGAACATTATTCTCAATATCCAGAAGAGCTTCTTAGCATTTTCTCAGTAAAATATTGTATCTTCAGTGTCACATGCATGTTTTGATCCTGTTTGTTATACTCTTAATCATTTTGCTCTTTAGTGATCATACAAGTGATCATTCTAACAATTGTGGATCATTTTGCTTTAGGTCTTGTTTGCATTAGGGGCCTCTTGGTCCAGGGCACAGACATCTGATTTGAACAAGGTGAAACATAAAGGGAAATGTATTCTCTGCTGAAACAAAACAGCACGAAGAGAGGGATGTATTGGGGCTTAGGGATAATTGGAATAAGGGATTTGAGCACTGCACATCTTTCTCCATTGGTCTGCTCTATGTTTCTTAGCATGTCTGCTTCATCCTCCCACAAACTAGCTGCTTCCCTATAGTGAGCAATTTACCAGACTAATGTCTTCCTGCACCTGAGCACAGTTATGGTGACTGTTCACCTTTTCCCTCATCTGATTAGAAAATTTTGGGGAGAGCAAGACTTGGCTTTCTTGTATGCCCACCCCATTGGCCGGAAGGTGGGTATTATAAATGATAGCCCAAGAACATGTGCTTAGAAACAATGAGGTGTTTTAGGCAGACAAAGTAATAAGTGCCTATTGTTGTTCCTTTTATGACTTTTGGAATAAAAGTGGTTCTAATAGTCAGTGACTCTGAAATGACATGAAATACTGAATTGTTTCATATGCTGGGAAAACTTTAGTTTTGACATTTCTAATTCAAGTGTTAGGATGGATACTTTTCAATAATAGGTGAAATTCATAAAATTAACTTGTTTATGCTAATACAGAGTGCTGCTTCATACAGGGAATGGTTTGAATAACTGTATACAGATAACTGACTGCTCTGATAGAAATACTATAGGAAAATACTATGATTGGGGATTTTTGTCCATATAATAAAACAGTTATTGAGGTCATCTAAAGTAAGATCACTTTATGAAATATTTTGATAACATGAAGACTGAAGATAGCAACAAACAGGCCTACTTCATTTTCAAGGGAAAAGAATGTTTGTTTAAATATTTTCGTTATAATATATTGTGGGGGAACCTAAGCCATCAAGAAAGAATATAATAATCATGAAAATAGGTCTTTTTAACATGATGGCTAGCTCGTCACAAGAGAGTACTGGAAGAAATCAGACCGTAACATTTGTAGGTGTAGGGCAGATACTGTGGCCCATGGGCATAAATGGCCTGCAACATGTTTAGGGTCACAGAATGTGTGTGTTTGGTTTTGTTTTATTTTAATGAGCTTCTTTTTAAAACTAGGACAATTTCATCTGAAGTTCTAGATTTCTGCCTACTTATTTTTAAAAGGATTTGAAAGATAAAACATCAGTGAAATGGAATAGACAATCCAAAGGTAATGCAGATTGATATGGAAATTGTGTATATGATAAAGGCAACATTTCACATCAGAGGAGAAGACAGATATTCAGTAAAAACATATGACATCTTGCTGTCCATTTGGGATGAAATAAAGCCATATTTTTTATATTTGTTAAGTCAATAAAAATTCTAGGTGGAGCACGGATTTTAAATGTAGAAAACTATTGCTCAGGCCCCTAGGTTCATCAATAATTCAAGTAGTTTTATCTAAAGGGCTTCAACTGAGACTTAAAGGAGTAGAACAACCTGTGTCTCAAATCATGTTTCCAGTTAAGTCCTGCAATGTATTGGAAAGGGGAATGATGTGTGCTTTTAGAGTCAATAAAATCTAGGCTTAAATCTTTTTCCTACTTTTTATTCAAATTTTTTGTAAGGTACAAAACCTACTCTGAGCCTTAGTTTCCTCAGTAATCAGTCTGTCAACGAAATGAAATGAATAAAGACCATCTACCACAGAGGGTTGCTGTGAGGATTGGATAAGATTATGTTACATGAACCTCTTACGTAGTAAGTGCCTAGAAGTGACTATTCAATAAAGTTTTTGTGTAGAAGGATGAAGAAACAGTGAGACCTTCAATAGCTATGGGGCATTGGCCTAGAGCAGATGTTTGTTTGAGAAATATGAAAAAATTCCTTGACATCTGTTTCCATCTGCAAACATTGATTGAGAGCCTACTACATGTCATGCATTGTATTTGGCACTAGAACAATAAAAATCAAAATAAAAGAGATTATCACTTTTAAAAATCTTGAATGAGAAAGTCAGGTCTTATGAGAAAGGAATTCAAGGCTGGGCACAGTGGCTCTTGCCTGTAATCCCAGCACTCTGGGAGGAGGAGGTGTATTAAATACAGAAGTAGCTGGGCTTGGTGGCAGGTGCCTGTAGTCCCACTCAGGAGGCTAAGGCAGGAGAATGGCTTGAACCCAGGAGGCTGAGGTTGCAGTGAGCCAAGATCATGCCTTTGCCCCCCATAATGGGTGACAAGAGTGAAACTCCGTATCAAAAAAAAAAAAAGGAATTCAAGTAGTGAGAATTTTTATAGTATTTGACTGCTCTCTTAATATTGTTATTCACTCTAAGAAAACATTTTGTCATGTGCTGCAGTATCTTGTGCTAGTTAAAGGAAACATGTAGAAGCAATTTCCTAAGAAAAATGAGTAGCTCTGTTTGGCTACAACCATGAAAGATTTATTTCTCAGTGTAATTATTAAGAGAGGATGCATTACCAGAGATGAAAAACATAAGAAATTGCTAAGTAGTGGATGAAATGATGCTTAATTTTTTAAAAAATGTACTCTTTTCCACTTAAATATTTTTGCTGGTTATTAGCATTTTCTTGGACTTAGCTTAGCAAATTATTTATTTTCACTAAATGAAGTTGTAGAGAATTCCTAGGTCAGTTTAGCTAATATTTGGTAAATAATGTAATACAAACAATTTTTTTCAGCAATTTTCCATTAATACTCTAATATGGAATAATATACTTGAGATAGACAAAACACTTGTGAGCTGTCACGTAGCCTGGGCTTATGCCCTATGTGTACCTAATCTGTTGTTTTGGTATTATTTGCATAACTAATATTTTGGTTCTGATATTTACCAAAACTGAGGAAAATATAAATTGTATGCCGTATGAAATTAGGTTTTATGTTATGCCCATGTTCACCTACTAATTCATATAGTATCTGTACCAATCCATTTGCCGAGGCAAAAACATTCTAGCATGGAACATATCTCAATTTTCGATAAAGAAGTTTATGTAGAAATATTGCAGCTTCTGCTGAGCATTCTCTATAATGATATGTGCTTTAGTAGATACTGTCAATAAAGAGACTTCTTTTTATCTTTTTTTTTTTTTTTTTCAGTTTGCTGGAAACCATGTCTCATTATACAGATGAACCCAGATTTACCATAGAGCAGATAGATCTGCTTCAGCGCCTTCGGCGTACTGGAATGACTAAACATGAAATTCTCCATGCCTTGGAAACTTTGGATCGTCTTGATCAAGAGCATAGTGACAAGTTTGGAAGAAGGTCCAGCTATGGAGGAAGTTCATATGGGAATAGTACCAACAATGTCCCAGCATCTTCCTCTACAGCTACAGCTTCCACACAGACGCAGCATTCGGGAATGTCCCCATCACCTAGCAACAGTTATGATACTTCCCCACAGCCTTGCACTACCAATCAAAATGGGAGAGAGAATAACGAGCGATTATCTACGTCCAATGGAAAGATGTCACCAACTCGCTACCATGCAAACAGCATGGGTCAGAGGTCATACAGTTTTGAAGCCTCAGAAGAGGACCTAGATGTAGATGATAAAGTGGAGGAATTAATGAGGTTAGTGACTTTGCTTATTCAGAGTCCCTAAAAATGTCTGTGTTGTTAGATTGTTTTTAGGTAGTATGCTGCATTTCAGCTACTTAGCTGTAAGAACTGTTGTAACTTCCTCCTCTTGCCTTTGGAGATGAAAGAAGATTCAAGTTTTATGTTTTTAATTTAAATTTTCTCTTCTTTACTTCAGCCCTTTGTCTTTGCTGCTTGATAAGCCTTTTCCATTCTCTCTTTATCAAACACCAGTCTTCTCTATGACTCTTAATAGCTAATTTCTGAAAAACAGACACATTCTAATCCCTAAATCTGTTGTAAGCACTTTTTCTGAGGGATAATTCTATCTTTGTACAGAATATATACACTCTTAATTTTTCTCTCCAACATTCCAATCAAGAAAATAATTTGGGGTAACTGTTATGTGGGGTTCTAATTTTAGCAATAGATGATATGCGTGTGTGTGTGTGTGCGCGCACATACACGAGGTACCTATTACATAGGTTTTAATTTTAGCAATAGACGCATATGCACTCACACACACACATATTGTCTTTTATAAGTTTAAGCACTTAGAGTTTTAAACACTGTGAAAAGAAATCCACTTTCAACAGAGGTAATTAGGAAAGGCTTCACTCTGGACCTGGGACTCCTTGAGGAGAACACCATGTGTTTTTCATTGTGCCTCCAGGATCTGGAACTTTCTTTGGCCCATGGTAAGGGCCTAATATGTTCAGTGAAGGGTGACCTTGACCTAAATGCTAAAGAATAGCATTTGTTTTTAAAATACGGGAACTTTCTTTGAAGTTAAGGGATACTAAAGGGCAGAAAAGGCAAGCCATGTCTTTAGTCTGATAAAGATTACTGATGGGTAAAACAATGTAATAACAATAATATATTAGGAGACAATACAGGTTTTGGGAGACTTTGAGTTCCATACTAGTTTATTTACTTTTGTCGGAATTGAGGCATTTTGTAAACACTCCTCTAGGAATAGAGATGATAAAAATATTGTTTTCCCTAGATTTCCACTGCCATAGAAGCAAAAGAGCCTACAGATAAATTAGTTACAGTAGATAATGAAAGAAACTGTAGCAGGAATTTGTCAGAAATAAAAATAGGACCTATAAGTATCATTATAATTCTTCCTGAAGATTTTTAAACTTCAAGATGGAATAATAGTGACTTAATATTGCCACATGGAAGATCTGTTCTGAAATACCACAATGCTGAAATATCCTTCAAACAAATAAACTGTCCGGAATTTTTTTTAGGTGGAAATTCTAAAAATGAAATTTTTAACTAAATCAACTATTGTATTTGGATTCCAGTGTCATGTTGATAGTTTATGTAATGAATAGTTTGATATAGCAGTTAGAGTTACAAGCCATTATTGTTTTGTTTTTTGAGATGGAGTATCACTCTGCCTCCCGGGCTGAAGTGGTTTTCCTGCCTCACCCTCCTGAGTAGCTAGGACTGCAGGTGTGTACCACCATGCCGGCTAATTTTTTTTTTTTAATTAAAAATATAAGAGATTAACTTGGCTTTGAATTCCTTTTCATGTGTTAAAGTAGATGACCAAAGTTCAGGTGTTGCTTTTGAATGTAACATTGTTAAGAGCAAGAACTATTTGGGCAAATAAAAGTTACTTCACTCATTGAAACATAACAAGGTTAGCTTTTAGTTATTCTGAGTAGAGAGGATATCATCAATTTAAAAAGGATGCCAACCTGGTTTTTTTGATGGTGTTCCTGTTAATCAGTTTTGATGAGATTTCTACATAGCAGTTCTTTTCTTTTCTTTTTGAGGTGGAGTTTCACTATTGTTGCCCTGGCTGAAGTGCAATGGCACAATCTTGGCCCATGGTAACCTCTGCCTCCTGGGTTCAAGTGAATCTCCTGCCTCAGTCTCCTGAGTAGCTAGGATTACAGGTATGCACCACCATGCCTGGCGGATTTTGTATTTTTAGTAGGGACGAGGTTTCTCCATGTTCGTCAGACTGGTCTCAAACTCCTGACCTCAGGTGATCCTCCTGTCTCAGCCTCCCAAAGTGCTGGGATTACAGGCGTGAGCCACTGCACCTGGCCTAATAGTTAATTCTTAAATGTGTATGAGACTAACAAGAAGTATGGGAAAACTCATTAGTAAAAGCCTCTAGAAGGTTGTGCAGAATAATAAGGGTGTAAAAACTTGACTTTTAAACTCATAGGTTGGCCTGTTTTAATTCAACTACATGCTCAAAATAATAAACCTACTTAGCAATGACTGGGATTTGTAATTAAATCCCATAATTACATACATGCCAGTTTTACTGTAAAATATATACAGGTTTATACTTTATTAGTATTTAATTTATATACTACCACTTGTATGATCAGGACACTTCATCTTCTTCCGTTTCTCTGCTTCTTTATTAGAACTGCTGCTTTGGGTTCTCCTGATCATCTCAGGGTCTCAATGGCCCTTCTGGATCTCTCTGGTCCTCTGCCATTGTACTCTCACCCACTGCTGCACTTCTGCCTTCCTCTGTGTCCTCCTCTGCCTTCCTCCTGCCTCCATTGTGTCCCCTCTCACGCTTCTCCGGTTGTAGATGACAACAATCCTTGGATCAGTGGGAAAGTTTATTGGATGACATTCTCACTTGTAATCATTAGAACCATAATGTGAGGTTGATCAGAGAAACTGAAATTCGCAAAAATTAAATACTTTTCCTAAGAGAACTTAAATATTAACTGGCAGAGTCTAAATTAATGTCTTTATTATCAATATGTCACTGGTGTACATTGCCTCTCTAAATAAGTTTTTCATGTCTGTAGATTTTAATAAGATTTTAGGGAAGGTGGTTAATTAACATAAGACATCGTATGAATTCACATAATGGGCTTTGCATCCACCTCCCCCATGATATTTGCTACTTCAGAATGATCACTTACTAACCAAGTGAATTTTTGTTTAGTGGAATGTTAGAGAAATATTTTGAGCAGTGGATCTTTCTGAGTATTCTGTGCCCTTTTAGGAATGTACTGCCCTTGCTGATCACTAGACGCTATGGCGATACTATAGCCCATTGGAAGTGGTGGTCTTTGGTCGGGGAGCCTGGGTACCTGAATGCCTTACTGTCTCCTTTTCTACCTATGTGCTTCACCTCTTGCTTATTCATATTCCTCAACTCAAACATAAGAAACATTTTTTAAAAATCTTATAATTCATTGACTTTACAAACTTAACTCCTAATAATTTCAAGATACATAATGGAGATTTTTTTTTTTTTTTTTGAGACAGTCTCACTCTGTCACCCACACTGGTACAGTGTTGCAGTCTTGGCTCACTGCAACCTCCATCTCCTGGGTTCAAGCAATTCTCGTGTCTCAGCCTCCCGAGTCTCTGGGATTACAGCATGCACCACCACCCCCAGCTAATTTTTGCATTTTTAGTAGAGATGGAGTTTCACCATGTTGACCAGGCTGGTCTCGAACTCCTGCCCATCTAGGCCTACCAAAGTGTTGGGATTACAGATGTGAACCACTGCCCCCAGACTATAATGGAGATTTTTTTGTAGAACTTCATCAAGTTTAAATTGTATACCATATCAACTAATTAAGAAAGAGTGAGAAAGTAACTTTGATTTTTTTCATTTTTGATTTTGATAGGGTTAAAAAAGAAAGGTAAACTAGCATATGAATTTAACAGATTGTTGAATATAACACTTTAGGAAGGACTTTAAAGCCAAAAGTAAAGAAGTATTTTACATTTTAATGTTTAAAAATGCATCTATGAATATATAAATATATGTGTATGGGTGTGTGTGTATGCACATCTGCTAATAGCATATAGCTGCTAATGTGTTTTAGATACATATTATGAAATAATTTAAATGAAGTTTATCAGAATTTATTAATAATGCCATACATTAAAGATGTTATTGTTAACCATCCATGTACTAAAGTTTATGATATGTTAGTATTTTGTTTAAAACTTTGAGACTTTATTCTAAGTTGGTTATCTATAGGCCAAGTATTTTACTTGCATAGGCAGGATGTACATGTTCTGTAGATGGTCATGATATCCAGTTACTATGTGATTGATAAATAGTAACTTTTATTTTTGAGTTATTTTTTAAAATTTAAGGTTATACTTTAACTCCATGGGTGAAAATTTATGGGAAAAAGTTTTTATTCAAATGTGGAAGAAATTTGTACATCATTGTGTTTTTCCAAGTGTGAAATAGTCTGTCTTGGTAGGTGTTGCTTTATCTCTGGAAGTCTTTGAGAGAGGTGATTACCTTTAAGAGATCCTAAAGAATGTGCATTGTATATTAACTATGAAAATATGGAAGATCTTAAACCATATCATTTTGTAACACAGGTGGTCTTTAGTATTCTTTATTCTAGAAAAAGAAGTAATGTCATTTTTAACTACTGTAAATAATTCTTTTCCTATCTGATTTGGTTAGCTGTAATCTATTTGAGAATAAAAATTTAAAGCTGTTTTATAAATTATCTAGATCAGGCTTTCCATTTTATAAGCTTTTATCTCCACCTACATATTTTTTCATTCATTGAACAAATTAAGCTCTATTATATGCAAACCTCATAATGAATAAGGCACAGTCTTTGTGCTAAAGGACTTTACAGGATAGTAGGAGAGATAAGATTAGGAACAACTATAATACAGAACAGCATGTAATATATTAGCATGTGAGTAGTAATATTGAAATGTTAAAGTTAGCCATTGCAAGAAGAGATAAGCTGTTAAGATCAGGGAGAACTTCTTTGAATAGATGACAGTTAAATTGTGCCTTAGTAAAAGGGGACTCCTTAAAGAGGCATCACTGAAGAATTCATCCAGACACTTAAGAATGGTCTATAGGTAACAGTGGAAAGTTTAGCAAGTTATAAAAATAATGGCAATGGAGGGTGGGAGGGGGAAATCATCCAGATGAATCTAGCATGGCAATAATTTGAAAAAGGCAGTAGGAGGAAATGACATGGACTTAAACTGGTTAGATGCAAATCAAGTAAGTAGCTTATGTTTGAAGTAAGCTATGGAATCAAAGACAAGATCAGCCTACTCTTCACTTTTATCCCATAAGACTTGAGGCACAGAAATCTTCTTGAAGAATATGAGATTCTAGAAGGGAGGAAGGAGAGGATACATTATTTTTAAGGAGGATATTAAATTGCAGATGAAGAGAGAAATGAGGGGTGGGAGAAGGTAAGAGAATTAGATTTAGAGTAAATGAAGTTTCATTTCATACTTAATAAAATGGTGATTTCATAGATTACAATGAGGACAATAGTAGTAGCAGATCCTTAAATAAGGCTGAATGAGGAGAAAATAAGGCGGGGTGGGGGTGGCGGAGGTGAAGTATGATGTCAAAGTTTGAACAACAAAGCTAATCTACTAGCATGGGAACTTTAGAAATACTTAAGAGAATTGGACACAATGAAAGTAGAATATATTTACTATTTTGAAAATACCTACTGAAACCAACTAAATGACCCATCACTGCTTGTATATAGAACTCTTAATGCTACCTTAAAGTACCTGGTATAGATGTTTACTTCGGTCTTATGTGATTATAGCAGATCAGTTGTTTCTTCTTTACATGGGAACCTTTCTGAATTTTTATAAAATAATAGTCAATGTTTTTGTAGCATTTTACAAATTCAAAAATTTTTGCAATGAATTTTTGATTCTGTGTATTACAGACACATGTTTAATTTCATTGCTAGGAGAAAAATTTTAAAAGCCTTCTGAAGGGGGTATTAATACTTTTTGTTGTTGTTGTTAGATGGAGTTCCATTCTGTCACCCTGGGCTGGATTGCAGTGGCACAATCTTGGCTCACTGCAGCCTCCACCCCCTGGGTTCAAGCAATTCTCCTGTCTCAGCCTCCCAAATAGCTGGAATTACAGGTGTGTGTCACCACCCTGGCTAATTTTTGTATTTTTAGTAGAGATGGGGTTTCACCGTATTACCCAGGCTGGTCTCCCAAAGCTCTGGGATTACAGGAGTGAGCAACTGCACCTGGCCAATGCTTTTATTTTATTAGATGAAACAGCAGGGGTTCAGCTTCGTTAAATGATTTGCCCATGCACACCTTATATTTTAAGTCTTTTGTTTTGCTTTTTGAGAAAGCTCTCTGGTGAAGCAGTGAAGATTTTTTTTATTTCTATTTTTTTTGAGGCAGAGTCTCGCTTTGTCGCCCAGGCTGGAATGCAGTGGCACGACTTCGGCTTACTGCAGTCTCTGCCTCCAGGGTTCAAGCAATTCTCCTCCCTCAGCCTCATGAGTAGCTGAATTCCAGGTGCGCACCACCACACCCAGCTAGTTTTTAATATTTTTGTTAGAGACGGGGGTCTCATCATGTTGGCCAGGCTGGTCTCAAACTCCTCACCTCAAGTGATATGCCTGCCTTGGCCTCCCAAAGTGTTGGGATTAAGGTGTAAGCCACCATGCCTGGCAATTTATGTTTTTGAAAACATTATCGGTACATAGAAACTTGTCAAATATCTAAAAATGTGAATTGCTACTGTTTGGCAGATTTTTGGGGTTCCTTCTGTCTTGTACAGTCCATGCTGCAAGGCTGTGAATAATTTACAAACTGGATATTTCTTATTGCAATAATTGACTTATCTCCTCTATATATGATTGTGTGTCTACTGTAGATGATTTGATTTAAAATAAATTGATTTAAATATCAGTGTAAATTAGTAGTCAGAAAACCCCATTGAATTATTTTCCCCCAGAAAAGTACATTTTTATTTAACCTGAAGAAATACCCCCTTAAATTCAGTTTCATTTCTCTGTAGGATCATTCTATATATAAATGCAATACTTAATTTAAAAAATTTCAGGTTAATTTTATATTTATATTAGAAACCAAATGATTTCATTGTTTTATTTATATCAGCCAATTGAAATAGTGCTGAAGTTACCTCTTGCACATTGATTATCGATGCATATAAGAAAGCTTTTGTTCTACATTACCTGCATTTTAGTCAGCAGTTATTTTGTTTGACTTTAAAATATGTTTATTTGTACCTTTTTCTTTTTCGTATACACAATTTTAAAATAAAATGTGAATGCATATTTTTCAAAGAAATATTTCAAATATAGGCAGGCATTTTGGGAAGAATCTAACCAGAATCTAGATCAGTATGAGAAATTTTAAATACTGCATTAGGCATTTGATTATTTTTTTTCTTTTAGGAATATTTTTTATTAGGATTTCCAACAGATCAGCCGTATACTGTGATCTGTTAGCTACAGATTGGAATCACCTCTCTGTTATTTTCCAAAATTTCCCAAAGGGAGCATGGATTTACAACAGAGTCCTTATAATGGATCATGTAAATCCTATTCATCTGGATGAGCTAAAATACCTCATCCAAGTTAAATCACAACTCATTGTTTTTTGAATGGGATGCTTTAATTTTTCTAAATAGTCTATGGAGAGATGTGAACCCCTGGAAAGAGTTTGTGGTTCTTTCACAAAACCATTGTTAAGGTTTTGTGATCCCTTTGTCTCAGATCAGGGGTTAGCAAACTTCTTCTCTGAAGGACCAGATAGTCAAAATTTTAGACTTTTTGGCCAAGAGGCAAAATTATAACGTAGAGACATGGGTCGGGCATGATGGCTCACACCTATAATCCCAGCACTCTGGGAGGTCAAGGCAGGAGGATCACTTGAGGTCAGGAGTTCAGAACACCCTGCCCAACATGGTGAAACCCCATCTCTACTAAAAATACAAAAATTAGCCAGGCATGGTGGTGCATGCCTATAATTCCAGCTACTCAGGAGGCTGAAGCAGGAGAATTGCTTACGCCTAGGAAGCAGAGGTTGCAGTGAGTCAAGACTGTGCCACTGCACTCTAGCCTGGGCTACAGAGTGAGACTCCATCTCAAAAAAAAGGGATATAATGTAGAGACATATACAAGACAGAAAACAAACAGCCACAAATTTTTATTGACAAAAGTCAATGCAGAATAATAATAATTGGGTACAGTTTTTGAAAACAGAATGAAATTGCAGGGGGAGGGATAATAATTTGCTTAGTTTGTGTGATATTGTTAGTGTTTTTCTGTCATCAAATTGATTGCAAATGTCCATCTCTGAAAATGATTCGTAGCTCATAGGTTGTATAAAAGTAGGTGGCAGGCCAGAAGTAGCCCATAGGCCATAATTTGCTGACCCTGTGTTAGATAAGAAGTTACCTCTATTCTGTCTTACTTTTGAGCTTGAACAGAAACCACTGCCCTATTTATGTAATCCCTTTGAAGATAAAGCATTCAATGAGAAATTGGTCAGTTTTAAGGGTTTAACTATAATTTTTGTTTATTAATACTTGTTCTGGTGGAGAAACAGAAGTCTTGCCATTCATTGTCATTCTTGTGAATGTCTAGTCTTTTGAGAATTTGTTGAGTCTTTAAAAATTTGTTACAGGCATTTTAGTGGAGGAAAAATGAGGTCTATAATGTAATATCAAGGACACTGAATATTGTGTAGTTTTACATATTCTTATATATGATACAAAATGAATAAATGACTTTTTAATACTAAAACTTGATATTCAACTCATCCCACTTTAAATTTTTTGTTTATACAGGAAAAGAAGTTAAAGAGCAAAGCCTTTCTTCAGATGGCTAACATTTTTACAGTTGTGAGAATGATGATTTCTTTTTCCTTAATCATTTTAAAGGTTTTTAAGTGAACGTTATTCATGCAGTTGTGTAGTTAACATGCGAGCCCACAATCTGCTCACAACTGAATTTGTTGTTGTTGCTCTTTATTTTTCTAGGATTTCTGTCTGTGTAAGATATATTCATTCCCCAGTAATGAAACTTTGTATATACCATATGACAGCCTTGTTCCTAATGTGAATTATACAGAGCATGCGATTAACCATCCTCTGGTATGAGACTTATATCTACTGTGGTCTTCACTAAAGCGTCTGTCTGATGGTGTGATGTTTTAGGACTTGAATATTTGGTGTTTCTTGGTTCATTGTAATTTCATATTTTCACACAAGTTTGGTCTGTTTACCTTTTATTTTTGTGTCCTTTCTGTGTTCTCCCCACCTCTCTGCTTCACCTTTCTTTTAGCAAAGATGAGGATTTCTACCTTCAACATACATTGTTGGTCTTGTCTTCTGTTTTTGTTAGGAGGGACAGCAGTGTGATAAAAGAGGAAATCAAAGCCTTTCTTGCCAATCGGAGGATTTCCCAAGCAGTTGTTGCACAGGTAACAGGTAAGAGCTGAAGAGCCCTTTATTCTGGAATCATGTCTAGTCTCTGCCTTCTGGTGCAGATGTTGGAATATTGCTTGCATTTCTGCACTGCAGTGCAGATCTGTCAACTTAGGCATAACAATGTATGCCTGTGATTTAAAACCCTTTGTCTCCAATATCACCGAACTTCTCTGGTGACTTTTTTTTACTTGTGCTAGTAAATTTTATAGCATTTGTAATAAGCACAAAATTCCCTCTCTTGTGGCTAAAAAAGGTTCCTATAGTTTGCTTTTAATTGTAACAGAGTGTATGACACATGCACATCCAACTGCTTTCTATACTATATATTTTTAAAAGCTTTGTACTCCTCCAAATATAATCCCTGATTATACCAGTTAAAAAATTATTCATGAGGGTAAAGAAAGTTGTTTTTTAAACCAGTTTCCATATGTAAAAGCATTCCTCGAAACATTTCTGAGAAGAGTTACCATTGTCTTCTCTTTGTTCTTTATATCCCATCCCATTCTCCACCCCCACCCAAGCCCCATCCTTAGTATGTGGTGTATATGTGTCATTCTCTATTCAGATTGCATTTTTTTATGAAGTTCTTAAATTTGGGGGCAGATGTCTTTTCTTTGTTAATGTGTGATCTTTCTTTCTTAGATCCCAGTGATTTCTAAGACCCTTAAAAAAATTAACTGGGCCTTAGTCATTAGGAGAACCAGAAACACTTTCAACTACATTTTGTAGTTGCTTCATTGTTGTGCTTTGTATATTAATAGATATAAAAATTAATTTCCCCTCCTTTTATTAACATTCTACTAGCTGGCTATGTGAATTTGGGCTTTTCAGCCTCTGTGCCTTAACTTTCTTCCTTCTACAATGAAATACTTGGATCTGATCTTCAATAATACCTTCTGATTTTAAGATATTATAGTGTGTGTGTGTTTAATATATTACACTAGTAATATATTTTTATAAACAAACTTGTTTATGGTAAAATAATTAACAGTGTCTTTCTGTGTAGCAGTCTTATATATACACCAAAGGACAGTTTGTTAGTTTAATTGTTGTAGTATTTAGGTGTTTTTCTATAGGATATTTAAAATATGCTGTAACCTTTATCTTCAAGGACCAAGTTATGGTGCCTAATGCAATGTAAGGACAAGTCAAGCAGGTTTTGGTGAAACTCACTGATGTGGGCTTTGAAAAGATGAAATGTTGTCTTTCAGTACTTACATTTCAGCCTCCATGACTAGAAGCAATAGTATCTTTCAGTTTGCCAGCCTAAAACTAAAAAAGACAAACTTGTAGTATTATACAATAGCATTGCAACATTGATACTTTTTAAGTAGAAGTATTTCTTAGTATATTGAATCCCCTGAATATTGAATCATTTTGGACTTTTTAAATAGTAGCTTTGAAACCCATCCAACCTTAATTAATGTAATTCATAGTAAAGTACCTTTAAAAAGCATTTCTTGAGCATATCTAAAGGCATTGGATAAACTATAATGGGTTAAACATGATGCATTATATATAGTATTGCCTTTTTTTGGAAAGGGAAACTGAAAGATGTGTTTTTCCGTCTCGCTACTCAAAATATAGTACATGGAACAGCATTATTGGCATCACCTGGGAGCTTGCTAGAATTGTAAAAATACTGAGTACTGCTCTCAATGTGCTAAAACGTAATTTACATTTTAACCAGAAGCCCAGGTGATTTTGGTTTGAGAAACACTATTCTAGGAGACTAGTAAACTTTACTGACATTAACTTCAATGGATTGGCATTAACATTACCTCACTTGGTAATAGTCGTCATGATGCCATCCCCTGTTGTTTTTGTTTTGTTTTTGGTTTTGAGACAGGGTCTTGCTCTGTTGCTGAGGCTGGAGTGCTGTGGCGTGTAATCATGGCTCACTGCAGCCTCCACCCCTTAGGCTTTTCCCATATCAGCCTCCTGAGTAGCTGGGGCTACAGATGTGCACCACCATACCTGGCTAATTTTTATTTTTTACTTTTTTTTTTTTTTAAATGGAGTCAGTCACCCAGGCTGGAGTGCAATGGTGTGATCTGGGCTTACTGCAATGTCTGCCTCCCTGCAAGCAATTCTCCTGCCTCAGCCTCCCAAGTAGCTGGGATTTGAGGCACCCGCCACCACTCCTGGCTAATCTTTGTATTTTTAGTAGACAGGGTTTGATCATATTGGCCAGGTTGGCCTCGAACTCCAGAGCTCAGGTGATCCACCCACCTCGGCCTCCCAAAGTGCTGTGATTACAGGCATAAGCCACCGCGCTCCGCCTGTTTTTTACCTTTTGTAGGGATGAGGTTTCACCGTATTGCTCAGGCTAGTCTTGAGCCCCTGGGATTACAGGTGTGAGGCACCGTGGCACCTGGGCATCATCTTCTGTTTTTGCAAGCAAGAACTGACAATACATTTACACATTTATTATCTACTATACCACATGGAACTTTCTTTTGTTGCCATAACTATGGGATTTGGTAGTGTTCTTCTTTCCCCAATTCAGCCTCATCCCAACTTGTTCTTGTCCTCTTCATTTCTACTCCAGAAGTTTGGGTTCATCTTCCCTTGATCAGATATCCTTGATGATTCTCTGTTGTCTAAAAAATGAAATTTCTTAATCCCAGCATTTTGGGAGGCCAAGGCTGGTGGATCACCTGAGGTCAGGAGTTCGAGACCAGCCTGGCCAACATGGTGAAACCCCATCTCTACTAAAAATACAAAAATTAGTTGGGCATGGTAGCTGGCACCTGTAATCCCAGCTACTTGGGAGGCTGAGACAAGAGAATCGCTTGAACCCAGGAGGCAGAGGTTGCAGTCAGCCGAGATCGCACCATTGCACTCATGCCTGAGGTACAAGAGTGAAACTTCCTCTCAAATAAAAAAAAAATTGTAATCTGACTCCAGCCTTCTCTTTTTTGCCATCTTCTGTTCAATATGTCCCCAGCTGAATTTCACTATTTGCTATTTCCAGAATTCTGCTCAGTTGGATGCTTCCAGAGTTTTGGTTGTCCCAAGGATACCTCTCACCTACTCATCTCAGTCCTACCAATTTCTGTTTATCAAGATTATCTCAGCTGTTACCCTCATTCTAACTTCTTGACCACTTTAGTCCTTGCAGACATCTCATTTTTTCTGAAATTAATTACACTTAGTTCTCCACCTGGAGGTTTAGTACACATTTTAGTTATACATTTTTAGAGCAGTGTTCTTCAAGACTGGTCTTTCCTTAAAGAGTCCAGCATTGTACATGTACTCTGAACATTCCTTGTCTTGTAGTGAAGAGGAGAACTGGTGATGCTAACACAAGCTATACATATGAAAATTAGTCCAGTGACTTTGTTCAGTGGTGTGCCCTCTCCAAAAATAATAATTTACTTGCTCAAAAAATGCTGTGTGAATTTTTGCCCTTAAGGAACTTGCATTTTTATTTGATTTACTTCAATTGTTTATATAAGGCCTGGGGAATGAGGATGATTGATAACCAGATTGGTTCATTGTCCTGTTGGTCAACTTACTGAATTCCTGTGTTTTTTGTGTATTATGTGTTATATTTTTAACCCAGCCTGCCCAGCCATCAAGCTAAACTCAGGGGCAAGGCTTTTCATTGCAGAGAAGAGATCTAGCTAGAGATTAGTGAGGTTACTAACTAAATAAAGGCTGGCCCTTGCAGTTGGTCCACTTAGATTAGAGTGAGCCTGAGTATGGAAGCCTTCTGGTCACCCAGAGCTCACTACCTGGAGTACCTCATCAGTGTATATTTGCATTTTTCTATCTTTAAACAAATTAGTCAAGTGTATTCTTTGAAGCAAAGAATATGTACCTGATCTACCTTAAGGTTTAGGATGTGGTACTCCCGAATCTTATAACAAGTTCTCTTAAAAAGATTTAAGTTCAACTCTAATATGTGAAATGAGTCAACCGTGAGATAAAAATGAGAACGAGTGGTGCATAACAAAAGAAAATGCTAAATAAAAAAGTGTAATGAGGTACAAAATTATAACACATGTGCATGTTCCAGAAACAAATGCAGAAGTTTCTTTTTATAGATTCGGAGGATTTCTATAATAAGATAAACAAGAAGTTCATGGGTGGGGTCTGTATAAATAATATCCTACTGATAGGAAAAATGACAGTATAAACAGGATGTAATAACAGTGCCTGCTGAATTCCCAGCATGTTATTTGTAGCTTCTTTCACAGTCGCAGCTGTTCCCACCAAGGGTGGATTTTTACCTCTGTAAGAGGTCAGCCAAGATTCTAAATTCTCACTAACAATGGTGGGTTGGTAAGCATACTCCTTGCTTTAGTAATAAGCACATGTAGTCCGTACTCACTTTCAGGGTAAAATGTTTTCTTAGGCTGTGTAAGAATGCTTAAAACATTTTTTTTTTCATGACCTCTGGGAAAAAAAAATCAAGCATGCAGAATAAATGAGTAAATGGGCAGAGCTTGATGAGCGCTTATCAGCCAAAGTAATATATTAATTGGATGCATGTCCTCTGAAGAAATAAATACATGGAAGAAGAAAAAACACAGCATCTCTGAATTTTAAGAAATGTACTAGAATTTTGTTTTCTTAAAATGTAGTAGTGTGATGAAGAAGTAACAGAATCTCAGTCTTTCTGCCATAAAATAACCTTGTGACCCAGAGTCTCCTTTTCCTTATTTGTAAGATAAAGGGCTTTAACTAAATAGATGAACTAAATAGTTTCTTTCTTAGTTCCTTTTGAGCTGGCTGCTCTAACAAAATACCATGAACTAGGTGGCTTATAAACAAGAGAAATTATTTCTCACAGTTCTAGAGGCTGAGAAGTCCAGGATCAAGCCAGATGCAGTGTCTGGTGAGAGAGTGCTTTCTGTCTCATAGATGATGCCATCTCTTTGTGTTGTCACATAGTGGCATGGGGAACGGGTCTCTCTTTGGCCTCTTTTATTGGGGCCCTAATTCTGGTTCAGAAGGATTCAACTCACATGACCTAATCACCTCCCAAAGATCCCACCTCCTAAAACCATCACCTTGGAAGTAATAATTTCAACATAGGAATTATAGGGGGACATAAACATTCAATCATAGCAGTTTCTATATATATTTTTTAGCTGTCAAACTCTATTCTGTTTTTAAGTTGTAAATGCATTTTAACAGATGTGCATCTTATCTGTACCTAGTGATTTTCATTCCTAAAACATAAGAATTTGTGTAAAGACAAGTTCTAAACTGGCTTTAGAAATGTTGCAGCTGTACTCAGATCACTTAATTCCTTTTTAACCTATCTTTAAAATGAAGGATAAAACCACTGCATATTCTATTTAATTATAGCAATTTCTTTGCAAAGGTAGAGAAGTGAGTTCCCTAATTAGAGAACTGAAGATCAGACATTAAAAACTAAAGCATCAGTATATTAAAAACAAAAAAAACTTTATTTTTTAGAGTAGTTTTAGGTTCACAGCTGCCTTCCATACACAGCTCTCTCCCACTATCACCATCCAGCACCAGAGTGATACCTTTCTGTCAGTGAACCTACATTGACATGTCATTGTCACTTGAAGTTCGTAGTTTATATTGGAGTTCACTCTTGGTTTTGCACATCCTATGGTGTTTGGACAAATGTTTAATGACATGTATCCACCACGGTAGTGTTAAACAGAGTTGTTGTACTGCCCAAAAAATTCCCTGTGCTTTGCCTGTTCATCCCTTCCTCCCCTCAGCTCCTGGCAACCACTGATCTTTTTATTAGTTTCCCTAGTTCTGCCTTTCGACAATGTCATATAGTTGGAATCAGACAGTGTAGAACTTCAGATTGGCTTCTTTTACATAGTAATATGCATTTTATGTTTCTCCCTGTCTCGTCATGGTTTGATAGCTCTGAATTTCCTGTTAGCACTGAATAATGCTTCATTGTCTGGATGTATCACAGTTTATTTCTCTAATCACCTACTGGATGGCATCTTGGTTGCTTCCAAGTTTTAGCAATTATGAGTAAAGCTGCTATAAACAAGTAGAATTTCTATGTATATTAGTAAAGCAATGTTGGTTGAACATAAGTCACAGACTATGGAATTGTCTTATTATAACACAACCAGAAACAATTATCTTGCTAATTTGACAAGTTTTTATTAGTTTTTACCTAATGGATTTTACCAGTTTTATGTGGCTCTCCAATTTGAAGGCTGTCACCTGCCTATGGGATGGGTAGGTTTCTACATGAAAGATATAATAATCCTCTCTCCAAATGGAAGAGGTTTGGAGTTTTTCTTTTTGTTAGAGGAAACCTTTTCAGATCTTTGAATGTACTTTGTTTACTCAACGTTATAATTGTTTCGGCAGAGTGCATTTTGGGATTTTCTTTTGTTTTGCAGCCTGAGGGAGTAGGAACAGATGTTAATCCGTGGTTCAAAATATTCTTACTTTTTAATCTCATTTCCTTCTATCTTCTTTAATTTTTTGGAAAATTATTTTCTTATAAGCATAACATATGAAGTTGCATTTTTTTCCCCATAGGAGAAAAAACAGCCTCTTCCACATCTAAATGCCCACATTTTCTCACTTTGTTGACATCTAAGTGAGGAATTGCAGTGAAAATAATTTTGGAGGGTATTTTTTGTTGTTTGAAAATCAGTTCTCTACAATTTTGAAATTCATTGTCCTGTTGGGCTTTGATCTGCTCAAATACAGTGCATAGGAGTATATATTTTTGGTGTAAATATTGGGAAGACTAGTTGTCAGGTATAAAATAGCATCTCTCTTTCACCTGTATATATAGTAGAAACTGTATTTAAAAGCATGTTATTTTACCGCAAGCCCTGACAGTGACTTATAAAGATTAGGCACAGATGTGGTTTTTCCATCATTCAGTAATTATCATTTTTGTTTCTCTCCACTTCTTATTTCCTAAGATTGTGGGGAAAAGCCTGTACTTTGATACAACGTTCCTTTGATTGTTGTGTGAAATATTTCTTGCCTAATGTAATTTAAAAATTGTTATATTAAATATGTTAATATGTTAAATATACAGAAATTAATAGCAAAAGGAGGAAGTGATATCCCAGTAAAAAATCCAGAAGGTATCTCTGTGTGACAAAATAGCAAAACCTGAGATTCAGCTGTAGCTGTCAGTCTTAAAGCAATATCATAAATATCATAAATAACATCCTGGAGAAGAAAGGCTCTGAAGAGAAAATAAATGCCATTTCTTGTAAATTCTAGATATGCTCCTTTATGCAGTAAAGAGTTATTCTATTAACTCTTAAAAGTTTAACTCAGAATGAGACCTTAAATCAAGGTGCTGCAAATAGTTTTGTGAGGAAGATGTAACACTATATTTAGTGTTACTAAATCTATTTAATTAAGGAACTGACGGTTGAACTAACCAAACTACAGCTGAGGGGCTTGATATCTGAGAGGCCTATACATTTTTGAAGTAATCGTTCAAATTCTTTTGGCTTAGAAGAAAGCTTTTAATATAAGAATGTGTCAGCTTCAACTAAATTTGACTCATTTCTTTCTTACAAAATAAACTTGGAGATATGCAAGGGGATTTTGTTTTTTCCTTTGTTTTTATTACCTTTATTAAGATCACATTTACATAAGAGTATAGGTCTCTGAGTTCTACCAAACTTATACAGCGGCATTAATCATTACCAAATTTAAGATATGACTATTTGAGTATTCCAAGAAGTTGTCTGGTGCCTTTTTGCAGTTAAATACTATTCTCCCACCTTCAGTACCTGGCAACCATTCGTCTACATTCCTTCACTGCTGATTTACCTTTTCTAGAATTTCATGTCAATGGAATCATACAAAACGTATCTTTTGTATCTAACTTCTTTCATTTAACATGATGCTTTTAAGATTCATGAGTGTTGAATGCTGAATACTAATCCATTGAATGGATATAACAAAATTAGTTTATCCATTAATCAGTAGATGGACGTTTGGATTTTTTCCAGGGCTTGGCTATTTAGAACTAAGCTGCTATGAACATTTTGTATATAAGTTTTTGGGTAGGAATATGTTTTTGTTTCCTATGGGTAAATACCCGGGAGTGGGATTGTGGGGTTGTTGGTAAACATACTGTTAACTTTTTAAGACACTGCCAAACTCTTTTCTAGTGTGGCTGCACCATTTTGCATTTCCACCAGCAAAGAATGAGGTCGTACCACTCTGCTTTCTCTTCAGTACTTGGTGTTTGTGCTTCTTCATGAGTTGAATCATTCTAGTGCAAGTATAATGATATCTCACTCTAGTTTTATTTTGCATTTTTCTAATGACTGATTATGTTGACCGTCTTTTTATATGATCACTTGTTATTCATGTATCTTTTTGGGTGACATGTCTGTCAAATCTTTTCTCTACTATTTTTTAATCAGGTTTGCCTTATTTATTATAAGAGCTCTTTTTATATTCTGGGTACAAGTCCTTAAATATACAGATATACATATTTCCTAAACCAAGGCTTGCGTTTTCATTTTCTTAATATCTTTCTAAGAGCAAATGTTGTAAGTTTTTACGAAGTTGTATTTATCATTTTTTTCTTTTGTAGTTTTTGCTTTTTGTGTTCTAAGAAAATTTGCTTAAAGTCTCAAGGATATTCCAGTGTTTTCCTCTGTAAGTTTTATCGTTTTAGCTCTTACATTAGTTCTAGGGACCATTTAAAGTTAATTTCTGTATTGAGATAAGGGTTGAGGCATTTTTTTTTTCTTATGGAGATCCAGTTGTTAGAACACCATTTGTCAAAAAGTCTAGTCTTTCCCCATTTGATTACTTTGTTTTCTTTGTAAAAACTCAGTTGGACATACATGCAAGGTCTGTTTCTGGCCTTTGTATTCTGTTCTGTCAATCTTTATGTAAAAGTTAGATTATTGTAAGTCATGAAATCAGAAAGTATAATTCTTCTCAGTGTTGTTTTTCCTTTTCAAGATAACTGTTGACTTTATAGGTCTTTAGTATTTTTACATACATTTTTAAACTAGCTTTTCCGTTTCTACAAAAAGTACATCTGTAGTGAGATTGGGATTGTGTTGAATATATACCTTGATGTGGCATTAAGAATTTATATCTTAATCATATCGAGTCTCAATCTATGAACATGGTTGGCTATCTCTCTACTTGTTTAGGTCTTTTTTATTTTCTCTCAGCCATTTTAGTGGTTTTCAGTGTACACGTTTTATACATATTAAATTCCTCACTAAATATTTTATATTATTGTTGTGATTATATTGGTATTGCTTTTAATTTTGGTGCCCACTTCCTTGTTTCTTGTATCATAGATCAGTTGGTTTTATTATATTGACCTGTGAACTTGCTTAACTCATTTATTTGTTCTAGTAGCTTAAAATAATTTTTTAAGGATTTTCTACACAATCATGTTATCTGTGAATGAGATAATTTTACTTCTTCCTTTTCAATATGTCTTTCTTGTTTTTTCTTTTTCCCCCTTTGTTGAACTAGGACCAACAGTTCAATCTTAAATAGAATGACAAAAGCAGACATCCTTACCTGGTTCCCAGTCATAGGGAGCGAACCTTCAATTTTTCACCGTTAAGTAGGGTCTTAGTTGTGAGTTTTTCATAGTTGCCGTTTACCAAGATTCCTTTCAAGGAAAGTTGTCTTCTATTTTTAATAGTTTTTATCATGATGGATGTTGTAGTTTATCAAATGCTTTTTCGGTATCTGTTGAGATGACCACATGGTTTTTCTTGCTTAGTCTTGTTAATATGGTAAATCACGTTGATTTACATTTTGGAAAAAATCCCACTCAGTTATGATATATTATCCGTTTTATATCATTTCATATAATTTGCTGATATTAAGAATTATTGCATCTGTGTTC